GTTGGTAATGAAACGTCTTTGAACAAACAAAGGCCATTTCGCGACTTCATGTCAAGCATCAGGAGATCAAATAGTTGTTGCACCAGGGCTTGGCCGAGGTGTCTCAGAAAAGTTCTGCAAACGCGGCACACAAGAAGTCACCAAATCGCATTAACCTTAGATTCACAACTACAAGGGCGAATTGACCAACTTCTGTCAAACCCACCCAAAGTCAGCAAATAGCCCATGAATGTGTCTTTTTCAGGCATGTTGCCCATCGATTAATCCAGTTGATTGTGTCCATGTAGTCGAACTGCTCCATCCACCTCTGCCAGCTGCGATCTGTCAGAGTCAGCACAACGCAGTCCATATAGCCAACTCCAGCCTCGGATTTAACGGTGGCAACGAATCAAAGCCGCTATCAACCTCTGACAAATACTTTCTTGGAAGTGTGTGACTGCTTTTAATTGCCTTGAGCTTTACCGCAATACAGCCCAGGCGCCATGAAGCGTGTCAGAACCACAACCATGAAGTCCACCATCACTTTGCCAATGGCTGCATAGATGATCACGTAACACCATCCGTCTCGAGTGATGCCAGTAGCTTGAAGAACCGCCACTTCATGTTCGTAGTTTCTTCTCAGCTCTTCTTGCGAGCCTTTCTCTGAGGAGATGTTTGTGTACAAGAGACCTGGAAGTCTTGGCATGGGCTTCCCACAACACTGAAGCTGAGGCCATAATGCTCGATCAAAGTTCCCAGGCAAAAAGCCTGTTGAAGCCATTGCATTGGCAATGGTGCGCAACTTCACGTGGTCTTCCTTCCTCCTCTTTTTTCTGTCTTCCTCTGTTGGCTCTTCCTCTGGGCTAGGGTAAAGCCTCATTTCATCCTCCTTGCCATCACAAGCTTCGAACTTTAGGGAGTCTCGGCTCTTTCTGTGACCCCGGCGTAGGCAGCAACAATATCGGCATAGAGCTTGCACTCGATCCCGGCAGCCTGTCTGGAATGAGCAGAGACCATTGACGTAACTCCCACTGAATCAAGCGAACGAAACAGAATCAAACAAGGCGCTGCTAGCTTCCAAACACCCTCGTTTTGGGGGTCAATGTGGAACGTTTCGGGTCAATGTGGAACGATTCGGCAAACAAGCGTACCTCTCAATAAGAAACGTCCTACTGTACCAACATCCCCAGTTACAACGAAAGGCAAAGCACGGGCAATGGAAGAGGCCTTTGTTCCATGAAGGGCGTCACACTTGGCACAGGTAAATTTAGACGAAGCCACCCAAGATAAACACCCAATTTTGCCTATTACTATGCAGTGTTCAGGCCTTTGTGGCGTTGGCGGATGATGAGAATTCTCATCAGAAAGTCCACCAATAGCAGTCGCATGAGAATCATAAACATCAGCACAATGAGAGTCACCCAGGGATAGAGAATTGTGAAAAGGGGGAAGTACACAAGGGCAACACCCCATCCAAAGGTCCAGCAACGCACCAGCAGCACCACGATGTAGACCGAGAAAATCAGCTTGCCCATCTCATGACCACAGGCCCAGATTCTTCTACCCCAGCGACCGGCTCCAAGAGCGATTTGCTCTGTCTGTTCATCCCCGCTGGCTCCGTCTCGCTTCTTACTCCAAGGAGGGGTCGATGTCAGCCCATTCCTTTCCTTCATCCTCTGTATCAACAAGATCAAACGGCCCGGGTCAAGCATTGAGGGTGCAAAGCCTTTTTCTTCGCCCTCCCTCTCCTCATCATTCCCACTATACGGCCTTGATGACAGCGATTCCGCGGCCAACTTCCCACTCTGCTCAGCATCCTGGATCTTCTTCATGTACGCTCCCCAGCGCCCTACAAAGTCATCATCATGAGCCTTTCTAAAGTTGAGATAGTCATTGTACACCAGCATCAGGACAAACTGATCAGCGTATCTGCTCCACTGAGAGCTGGTAGCAGATTGCACCATGGAGAGCATTAATGTGCGGAGGACCGTTGACAAGCCAACGTGCCTCGAAAATTCGTTGGCAACAATCTTTTGCAGCTCTGCCAGTTCCTCTGTCCATGTGTAGAGAGTCCTGACCAGGAGGTAAAGAGTGAATCCCATTTTGCCAATACGACTGATTGTCTGCAAAGTGCCCGTCCGCCCAGGTTTGTGGAGAGCAGGCGGCCCCATGATCAATGCTGTTGACGCTGCTCCAAGAATACTTGTAATCAGAATCATCCAGTAGGGTTGTTTGCTCGAAACCTTCACCAAGTCTTCAATGTCTTCCGCACGCGGACCTTTCTGATACACGTATGTCAACCCAAAGAAAATGAAAGCGAGAGGGAGTAGGAATATGAAGGAGTGGCCCAATATAATGACAACCACAATCACAAAACAGCTGCATCTGTCCCTATTTCTGTAAGCGTCAGTAGCTTGTCGCAGGGAGGTGTGCGTCTGACGGCCCACACCAACTAATGCCAGAAGGACATGAGCAAAGCAACTGAATCCTCCTTCGCCACGGCTGGCTAGTGCTTCCAGTGTAGCTAAAGAAGCGGTCGAAAATGATCTGCCTGCCTTAGGCTCATGCCCAACACTTTCCCCCTCTTCCTTCTGGTATTTGACGACTTCAGCATCTGCATCGGAAAAAAGAACTCTGGGCCGCTCCTGTGCACCCTCCCTTGACGAGCTGGCAGGTTTCTTTAAGCCTCCCTTCTTCTCATCTCCCACTCGATGAGGAGAAAAATGTCTTCTGCAGGTTGGACACTGCACGCACGGATCCATGATTGCTTCTATGCTAAGATTCGATATCATCACCGAATGGGTCCCTGCCGCAACTTCATCTCCGCTATCACCCTCACAAATCGCATAGCTGCCCCTATGAAGAACAGAATCTCTTGGGAGCGCGACAACACGGCTGTCGCAGCCTTGTGCCTCATTAGCAACCTGGCACTTAGGCCGCACTGTTCGCTTTCGCTTGATCTTCTTCCTCTTTCGGGAAACCTTCAACGCGTCTGATTGCGGCTCTAGCTGCACCTGAAGCACAACCTCCTCTGAACCGTGCTCTCCTTCAATCATGCTCTTTTCTGACTAAAGGCTTTGGCTTTGCCATAGCTTGGGAGGAAGCCAGGCAGAAAGAACTTGTCGGCGAACGTTTCCCTAAAGTTGTTTGTTTCATTGACCAATTGGAAGGAGCTTCAAAACAACTTGCGAAGGAGTAAACCTTCACTATACAGATTGAAACAACTGATGACAAGACCAACACACAGAACGAACATACAGTGTTGAACCCTGCCACCCTGTGAAAGGTTGGCCGTTATAAGTTATAGCCTGTATCTATGCATCATGCGCACAAATGTGTTTCAAACAAAATATAGTGTCTATACAACATTGCAGGGTGGATCCTGGGTAGTGTCGTGTCAAAATCAATTGCACATGCAAAGCTCAAGAATCAGTGGGCGCTCCATTTTCAGAAAGTGTCGCGCTGTCACATTGTCACGGAAAGCAATGCAGTGGGAATGCAAGTTTCTCTGTTGACTTGACGTGGTACTCTTTCAGAATCCCTCTAGTGAACCACCAACAATGTTGCAATGTGCCACAAAAACAAGGAAGAATCCTCGGGGAAAACCAGCAATCTTGATTGCGTCATCAGCACTCTACCAGCAAGACAGGCAAATCATGTACAGGCTGAACCCTTCAAAGCCAGTGAATTGCACTGGCTGGCAAAAGGCTTCAACGTCCTGGCAAGGCCACAGGGAAGGCAAATCAAAGGAGTAACGAGAGTGCGCAATGTACAACCCCAAACCATGCTCATGGCACACAAAGCGAGCGTCAATGTTCCCCAAAACAACTTAGAAGCTTTACTTTATAGAAGAAATGATACAAGCTCAAGATTTGTGGAAGAAAATAACAGCCACAAAAACTAGCAAGCTGCACTCCTTATTCCCATCTCAGCAGCTGCTTGCTAACCGCAAATGAGTCTAAGCGTGTGGAACGCCGGATGACACCGCTGACCCAAAGCAAACACTATTGAGCATCGGGGGCCACCTGTGAGCATGCCACAAGGGCCCCCTTCGCACCTGCACAGCGGGCCTTGAGCGCAATTAGCTATGCAAGGGAACTTGCATTGTCACCGTCGACTGTTTGAACATCACCATCGCAAAGCACCTTAAAATGCACATGCGTGCAGTGTTGATTGAAGCATTCATATGACACCCCAAGCCGGGTTTTCCTGCGGTCTGCTGCGATCCTTTACAATAATATGACCGCCAGCGCTGTAACATTGCACTGAGCACATCATACGCTGTACTTGGCCACTGTCAGAGCATTTGGATGCATTTAAGTTCCAGAATCTTGGGGTGAGCTTCTGAGCTCTGACAGTGGCTGCCCTCCCACATCACCAGCAAGTTCAGCCGAACGAGACTTGGGGATCAGGAGCAAAATTCAATGGGTCCACAGTGCACCTGCAACTTGGAAAGCTCTGGCGGTTTGACGTCATTAGCGCTGTTTTGCAACAATTATATACCACGTGTTAGCACTTTTCACATTTTTGGGTCCTAGCTATGGCACACAAAAACGGTTGGCGCCGGGTTCCTTCTTAGGGCCTTAGTGGCCTGCTACTGCTGTTTTCATGTGTTCATTGGATTTGTAACTTGTGCCGCTCGATGCTTCACCTTGCTTTCAGCTCACCAGAAGGACATCCGATTCTGCCTGTGAGGCAGCATGTTCATCGAATTAGTTTTTCAGTTGCCTGGTGTCAAGCAGCTTGTTTACAAAGCCTTTCAACAACCTTCAAGCTTTCCGGTGTCGGTTGCGCTGTCCAGTATTTAATTGGTCCAGCAAAGCCGAGCACTAACTGGAGTCTTCGAGCTCCAAAGTAGGCCTCTAGCTTCCAAATTCGCGCCATGGCACGCACCCGACCTCGCTCCTTCCAGTTTGCAGATTCGGAAGCACACAAATGGATGCGAGTCGGAAGTGCACACTGTACATACCACAAATGTACCCAAAGGCCTTGAATTAAGAGAGATCAGACATCTTGCGTTCACTGGCACCTCAGTCCCTTTTCTGTCGCCAGAGCTTCCGTAGTTGGAATGTCCTCAAAAGCGGCTTCACTGTCCAACCCTCTCCCAACTGAAACTTCAACTGGGGCTGTGTTCGTCGCAAAAGGGAGGTGGACTTCTTGGCAGGGGGGTCGAGAAGTTAATTTCAGGTCCAAGGCGCAAAATGAAGTGGAGCAGCAATAGCACCAGGCCATAGAATAGGTAGACGACTACGAGAAAAATCACTGGACCAACTTTCCAGTGGATCATGCTGTAGGAATCTTCCCGGGGAAAGGGAAAATCTGGCACAGGTACTCCAAGGAAACGACAAAGTGGATCCCAACCTTCCCGAATGTTGTAAATCAACAAGGATTCCAGCGGCACCGCGTTTTTCAACCTTTCAATATGCATCTCAAAGCCATCCAGGCAGTCTTGCTTGTCCTTCCTGGAAAGCATCCGCGGCGGAAAACTGGTGATTGCTGTGCACTGAAGCCTCTGGGAGACCAGCCGCCAGTATTGCACAAAGGGCTGGTAAAGCACAGTCAGTGGAAATGGCTGCGTGATGGGAAAAGATGGGAATGGTGGCGGTGGCAAGATCGCACCCCATCGAAAGTGTTCCCAGTAACTCTGGAACCTCGCATCGAATCCGGCTTCCGAGAGAAGCAAAAAGCCGACCCTGTGCGACTCACAAACAAGCAAACGTAAGCTAACTATCCTAACAGCGCCCTTGTTCCTAGTATTCTGAAGAAATGTCTGTTTCTGACCGATGCACGTTCACGTCAAAAAGAAACTAAGCACATCAGGCTTTCCAGCAGTTTGCCATCAGCTACCATGCTCTGCTGTTAAGGACAGAAATTGTCCTAGTTGTCTTGCTCCTGCTGTGGAATGGGAACACGACGACTGCAAACCCTTGTGCTAAGCCAAAATATTGTGTGAATATCTGCCTTGGAACCAAGAATGCTTGTCTCTGACTGTGAGAATGATCTTGGCATTGGGATACTTCTCGTGAAGCTCCACACCATAAGCAGACCAAGGGATATCCACGAGAGCTGTGACGTTCAGTCGCTCGATGTGGGCTAAAACAGGCAGCAGCACATTGAAGTCCTTCAGGGTGGAGGCCATGGCTAGTAGTAACAAAGGGCATCGCTACGAGGAGCAAGGACGCTACTAGGGGCTCCTGGCCTTACTACTAGGAGCAAGAAGCTACTAGGAGCAAAGGGCATCCCTACTAGTAGCAAGAACGCTACTAGTAGCTCCTGGCATTACTACTAG